ACTTATGTTTTTTTTTCTTTTTAAATAAAAAGAAGTATAAAAGTGTTCATGATGATGATAAGTCCTTTATAGCTAGTACAAATCATATAGAGGCATGATTTTATACTGATAAATAGATTGTAATTAAAGTCCATATCAATGTAATACTATCGAGATCCTTACTTAAGATAAAAGAATTAGAGGAAAGAGTAGAAGTGACCTAAGCAAGGTATTCTAAAAGAGAGAAGCTTGAAAGGGAGACGACAACCTTTCTCTATAAATAAGCCTCCTAACAACCGCAACTCTAAAAAGTGAAAGCCATAATTTAGAGACTCATAGGGTACATATCTAAGAAAAATTGATGTTAGAAGATCATCCAAGTTAGGTAGAAGAGACTAAAGACCGATCAATAACAAAAGAATTGACTAAGTTATAGACTGACATCTCCAAAAAAGATCATATAGAGAAGTAGATCCTTATATGATTATTTATTTATACACGTGGAAAAGACTTGCATGCATGAAAAAAAGGAAGAAGTTACACCCTAATTTATTCTAGGCTCGAGTCCAATAAATTAGATGCAAGACGTAAAGAAAGTCCATCAAGTTCTTAAAAAATACTTTTTAGTTAATCTCATTTAAGAGCCCATCAAACTAAATCTATATAGAAGAAGGTTAGTAACTAATCAATTAGTCCCAATATATAAGGCTTAATTTATGTATTAAGGGTTTAATTTGTTATTCTAAACTAAAACACTGGAGCTCTCTCTTTAAAATAATAAAAAATAGACTCTAAAGTCTGGATATAATGTAAAAATCTCATCTAAAAAAAGGCAAATGACTAATAATTAGTGTATCTATAGTTAGAAGGATAACAAACTCTCAATAATAATAAAACACGATCCTAAATAGGTAGGAGGAACGATAACAACATGAAAGAACAATAGAGCAAAGCATTGTAGCATAAGAAAAGAATACATGAATGCATTATAGAATAAGAAATGAAATACATAGAGCACTACAACCTATATTTGATAGAGTGGCTCACTATTGGAGCGAGCATAAAACATATAAATAATAGCTAAAGCCTAGGAGAAGAACACATACACAATAATACAACAACAAGCATAGTCTAGTAAAAAAACTTAAGAATCATTATCAATCACAAGTTTCGTACTTGAAACTTGCTAGGTAGTAGCTCGTAGCCAATAGATATAAAGGCAATAACTTATAGGCAATAATTAGTAGGCCATAACTTGTAGGTTGGTAATTGGTCTTCCAATCCTCTCGTTCATGCTTATGTCCATCGTCTTTTATAGTTTTTCTATCTACTATATGTCTAGAGTGTCAATTTGTTAATACTCATTATTTTTTTAATTATAAATCAATTCAATTAAACATTGTAAAGGTTGTAATATTGTTATTATTCTATACGATTTTCAATCTTCATCCATATCATAGGTCTTTGATCTTAATATTTAATGACATTAATTTATAATTTATTACTTTAGTATTTTTATTTAGATTGCATGTATAGATTAGATAGTTTGATTTCTATCTTAATTTGATTTTATTTAAAGTTATTTTTCCTTCAATCCTACAATTCAACCAACTTGAGAAGTCAAGGTTTCTCCACGAGAAGTTTTCAAGACTATTACGAGCCTTTTGATTTATTTGATTTAAGCTTCTTTATCACTTTAAAGCCTAGAAGTAGTATAAATAGTATTTGTAGTTTATATTTACAAGTTAGTTTGGTTTATCTACTCATTAGATTAGGAGATTAACTACTTTACAAAAAACTTTTCAATTATCTTTTTACCTTTTTTGTTATAAAATCCTTTTAGTTGAGGATATCACAAAAGAGCTTGCAACAACCTAATTTGCATTATGGTTAAAAATAAGTTCTTTATTTTTTCATTAATTTTTTGAAGAACTCCATATCTCTTTCAAACATGCTCATTCTTTTCACATTATCATTATGAGCAAGTAACATAATTTGTAACTAATTAAAAAGGTGTATGGTTGTATCTTATTTGAGTGTTATTATTATTATTTTATTTACTTAGGATGTCTAAGAATATAATACATAGGTTAATTGATAAACAATAGTCTAAAAAACTCGATCTAAAAGAACAAATAGGAACTAGAGGTTCAACAAGCCATAACTTTTGATTTAGGTGTTTGATAGTGGTTCGTAAGCTTAATTTAGAAAGTTGGTGTAGAGTTCTACACTAAAAAGATTATCACAAAGCCAAAAAAGACCATTTTGGTATGATGCTATACTTATTAAAACAGATACTTTACATACTAATCATACATGGACTTTTGTTTTTCAACTTCCTCACATGAATATTGTTTGGAGTCATTTGGTTTATCATGTCAAAAAAAAAAAAAAAAAAGATTGATGTTTCTTTTGGGTACTGTAAGACTAGACTTGTAGCCAAAGGTTTCGTCAATAGAAAGGTGTGAATTATATTAAGTATTTCAATCTTGTTATTAAGCCTACTACCATTCGCATTATTGTTTTTAAGCAATGGCGGGTATGTTAACTTGAGATTTATAATTCCTTTCTAAATTGTATCTTACTAAAGATATATTTATGGGATAACAATTTGGTTTTTGTTCATCCTACATGCTTTGTGTAAGTTATATCTATATTGTTTGAAATAAGCCTTTGCGTGCACGGTACTCTCGGCTCGATTAGTTTCTCTTATGCTTTGGATTTATTAGCCCCAAAACAAATAATTTACTCTTTATTATGTTTACTACTAAGGTTTGAAACGAGTACTTGTGTGCATAGTAGTTCCTCTTATATTATTACTTTTCTCGCACTAGTTCGTTGTTCAATTTCATTTATGTGATCTTGGTCCTCTTACTTATTATAATTATTTTTTTATTGTGGAGGTGACATCTACTTTTCGGGGTTTTCTCCTTTACCAATGAAAATATATTGAAGACATTCTTGTTCGAGCTATTATGTTAACCTGCAAACCTATGGCCAATCTAGTTTCAACCTCTACCAAACTTTTTCTTGTCAACAATAATTCGTTTATTGAAACTTTCAAGTATCATCAAATTATTAAGCTTTACAATATTTGAAACTTACTCATTTCGATAATAACTTTGTTGTTAACGAAGTCTATTAGTTTATGGATTCTGTTTTTGAAAATCATTGGATGGTTGTTAAGTGTATTTTTTACTATCTTTAGCAAACTCTTCATTATGGTCTTCATCTCAATATACACTCTTCTCTTCGAACTCATGCCTTTACTAATGTTGATTAGGCTAATAGTCTTGATAATCATAAATCCGTGAGTGGTTATGCAATTTTCATCGGCAACAATCTTGTCTCTTGGAAGTCTAGTAAATAATATAATGTTGTGCATTCTTTTAAAGAAGCATAATTTAAGGCTCTTGTTGATTATCTTCGTCGAATTGCTTTGGATTCAATCTTTTTTTGTGAACTAACTATTGCACCTTACTTCCCCACCAACTATTTGGATTGATAATCTTGATGCCACTTACTTATCAACCAATTCTATCTTCCCCGAAGTTGACTTTCATTTTGTCTTGGATCAAGTAAGGGTTTTCTTTATGTTGAGTTCATTTTGTCCGAAGATCATTGTTGATGTTCTTATTAAACCTTTAGCTATTGATCATCTTTCTTCCGCTTATTTTTAAGTTTTCGTGTGGATTCTTTACCCTCTTCACTTTAAGGAGTTTGTTAAGGCATAAATATTTTCCTATATTATAGTCATAAGTATTTTTCTATTCTGTATATTGCAATTTCTTATATCATTGCCTATATTTTATGTATTATAAGACATTGTAAGTTTTTCTATACTATACAAATTCTACATATAAATACGGTATGATATTATTATAAAAAGTGTGCAGCCATGAGGATATTTTTATATTTTTTCTTTATTTATTTCTCTTAAAATATTTTCTTATTTATTTATTTCTCTCAACTGAGCATTTTTTGAGATTGCAGTTTTACGGTTTGATTTAAAAGTCTCATTTCATTCAAGCCCCAAATGCTCTCTTTTATTGTGTGTGTGCGTGTTTTTTTTTTTTTTTGTTTTTTTGTATGTTTTAAACGGAGTTGGCTTCTCTTGCTATTTTCCCTCCCTATTCATATTTTCACCAAGTTTCCCTTGATGTTTCTATCAATTTATTTGGCTTATAAAAATATACATATATTTGTTGAGACTCGAGAGTAGGCAACAATATCTAATATTAATATCTAAAATAAGACGTATTCTTTTTACAAAATAACGGAGCATGCAAGCATATATAGGTTGCGTTATTTTTTAAACAAGATTACGTCGTATTTTAGAGATTAGTGACCGATCCCTCGCATGCCTCAACAAATATAACAAACATAATTTACGTCACAACAAACCACAATATTTTGATATAATTACAATTTGGCCCCAATCAAGGCTCAATTCCCCTACTCCCCAACAACGTGAGTCATTAATTTCTAGTAGCATTTGGCCATCACTCCAGCTGTGAGCCAAATTACAAGGGAGGAGAAGAAATGAGAACACGTTTAAATGTTCATCTTTCGGTCAGGATTGGCGACCTTCTGGTTGTGACAAAAATATGAAAGTGTAAGTGGCTAGTAAATAGATATTAATTAAGAACTTCAACTGTATTTTTGGGCCTTTTCTTAAGCTATATAATTAGGTGCATGCATACAGATTTCGTAGTTACAAGCAGCGATAGATATACAACTTTAGTCGAGTCTCGAAGAAATATCCAAGAGAGAGACAAAAAACTTGACACTCCCTCCCTCTTACCTTCTCTAAGGGGTGTTCCATCTTAATACTGCTTTTGTGCTTCTGCTTCGTTTTTGGTGTACCTTGCTATTCTGGGTCATAATTATTGGGAATAATCCTCTTTTTCCGACAAGAGAAAACTGCAGCATAAAGGGGCAAAAGGGAGATATATACTCCTCTAAGAAACTAAGAAGAAATTGAAGAAACCCGTTGAAAGTCAAGTGCTTTAAAGGGGAAAATGGCAGCTCCTTTGTCAGCCTGGCCTTGGGAGAACTTGGGCATTTATAAGGTATAGGAAATTTCATATATCCTTGATCAAGATGCTCAAGAATTTAATTAAGGATTATCAATATATGTTTTTTTTCCCCCCTTTTAATAGTTTGGTTTGTTGATATGTTTCTGTTCTCTCTCATGTGTTTTTTGTATGAAGTATCTGCTATATGGACCTCTTCTTTCAAAAGTCTTGTATACAAGGATTCAAGAGGGTTCTTTCAAGGACGATTGGTGTCTCCATATTCTGATTATATGTGCTGCTAGAGCAGTTCTTCATCAATTGTGGAGTACTTTTGTTAACATGCTTTTCCTAACAAGTAATCTCCGGATTAATCAACAAGGCTATGATTTCAAGCAGATAGACAAAGAGTGGGATTGGTATATGAGCTTCTCTTCTTGTTGTGAGGTTTTTATATATTTTATTTAGACTTGGCATGTTCATAATCATAGCTGCTTTTCTTTTTGTTGGTTATTTTTGCAGGGATAATTTCATACTTCTTCAAGCTCTTATTGCATCCATGGCATGTTACATGTACCCCCCATTCATCGAAAATGTTCCTCTATGGAACACAAAAGGTTTTATTACCATTTTGACACTCCATGTGGGAATTTCAGAGCCTCTATACTATTGGGTGCATAGATGCTTTCATACAAGTGATCTCTTTACCAAGTACCATTCAATCCACCACTCTTCCCCAGTACTGCACCCTTTCACAGGTAAAAAGAAAAAAAAACACCATATGTTAGATATGTGGACAGAATTTCTCCTCGTACAATTTTATTATTATTATTATAAAATATTTGATTTTGGTTGATTCAGGTGCAAATGCAACATTTTTGGAGCATCTTGCTCTAACCACAGTCATTGGAATTCCAATAATTGGGTCTTATATGATGGGATATGGATCAAGAAGCATGATTTATGGGTATCTCTTGGTGTTTGATTTTCTTAGATGCTTGGGGCATTGCAACGTGGAAGTTGTTCCTCATCAATTGTTTGATGCTCTTCCCTTTCTTAGATATCTTCTCTACACTCCGACGTAAGTAGCGATGTCATTTTCTATTCATATAACAAACAAGTAGTACTAATATTTGCTCTCACACTTTCGTGGAGGAGATTCATAACATATTGTTTCGTTTTTGTTATGCTATATTAAATATCATGATATCGATCGTGATTGCCTAAGCTTCAGTCCATTTTTAAGTGCTTACATTTTTCAAACAAATGACGTGACTTGATAGAATTTGTTAATGAATTAATTCTGCTTACGATTTTTTCTTCTATTGTCAATTATTGCATGTAGTTTGATAAAGATTATAAATAGAATATGCTCTTATCTTTTGGCATTAGCTTTATGAATTTATGATATCAAATCTTGCTGCTTCTAGCTTCACTCCATCTTGGAGAGAAATCTCAAATAAGTTTTAGCTTCGAAGGAAGTTAATCTTTATTAATTTCTATCCTGAAAGGAAAACTAAGTTGACACGTTACACCTAAAACGGGGGGTGGGGGGAGGGGAACAAAAGGAGAAAGGATGACAAGTCACTTCATACATATTTAGCTATCTCATACCTTCTTTGACAAAATCTATTCATTGTCTCCATAAATGTTTTCATCCCATTCCAGAGAAAGGCAATCTTAATTTATAGAGGCCCTACGTCCATCTGTATTATGCACCAATTACTAGCATGGCAAAAGAGTGAGGTAGGTGAGAAAATAAGTCCAATGTCAAATTATATCATCCAACCCAAATAATTTCATTTTTTAGAAATTCCCCAAACGTATTTGTTTGACTACATGTCATTATTCGGACTTTTTTTTTTTTCTCTGAAAATATTCATAAGCATCATTGATAGCTTGTTTTTGGTGGTGACACAGATACCACAGCCTGCACCACACAGACATGGGCACCAATTTCTGCCTCTTTATGCCATTCTTTGATGCAATATGGAAGACACTTAATAGCAAGTCTCGGGAACTCCACAAGAAAATAAGCTCAAGTGCAGGTAAGCCCAAAACTATAGCAATTCCATTGTACTGATCCTAATCTATCATGCAATAATGAATAATAGATGGGACTAGTGGATATCAAATTGCACCTAAAAATGTATCCTGCTACTTAATTAAGAGTTGCCATCAAGAAATGCTAACCACAAGATCGATGGAACATTTTGATTAGAGGGACCATTAATTAAGTGCCTTCATAAGTTTGTGGGAAACCTTTGAGCCAGAAGTACACCTCAAAGTGCTGTAGACAGTAGTGCATATGCACAAGCACAGTCACGTTGACAATGATTTCTATTTCTATGCCTTAGAGAACCATCTGCCAATTCTTTGGTTCTGGAAATTCCAGAATTTAAAGAGCTTTTTTAATCTAATTCTGTGAATTATGAATACCCCATTTAAATTAAGTTATTTTGCAAAAGAAATTATTTGTCTCCTTTTGACAACCTGATTTATAATTTTTGGACTGTTCTAATATGCTCTTCTACACAACAAATAATCCCTTTTTTTTTTTTTTTTTTTGGAATTTGAAGCTTCAGAAAATCTATATATTGACAACTAATTAATGGTTTGCTGTGATGCAGGGAAAGACAGGAGAACTATACCTGGTTTTGTTTTCTTAGCACATGTTGTAGATGTAACATCTTCATTACATGCCCCATTTGTCATCCGTTCTTTTGCTTCGTTGCCCTATACGACGAGGCTCTTTTTGCTGGTTTGCTGGCCTGGGGCATTTATTGCTATGCTTATGATGTGGGCATGGGCTAAGACCTTCTTAATCTCTTTCTATAATCTCAGAGGCAGGTTGCATGAAACATGGAGTGTTCCAAGATTCGGCTTTCAGGTTAATTTGCTTCAAATCTTTGGCCTTGCATTTTCTGCTATAACCCATATTGTTTAAGCTTGCTTGCTAACAAAATTTATGATGCATTGCTTTGTTTTTTGCAGTATTTCTTGCCATTTGCTAAAGAGGGTATCAATAAGCACATAGAAGAGGCTATTCTTAGGGCGGATAGGCTCGGGGTCAAGGTCATTAGCCTTGCTGCATTGAACAAGGTTGGTAATTAATTTAAGCGGGTGTTTGGTAGGATATTTTACATGGGTAAAGATTAAGAGGTTTTGCTTTTTCAGTGGGTTATATTTTTTTTGGTTACTAGGTACCCAAATTGGTGCTTTATCCTCCAAGCATGGAGGATAACTATTACCTTGCAAGCAATTTTTATTTTTATTTTTTTGTCTTAAAATATACAAAACTAATAATTTAATTATTTTCTCTCTCTTTCCATTAACATTTAACCCTTTAATTTGTAAATATACCAAACATCATTAAAAACTAACTTTTAAATCATTAAAAATTACTCAAGTAATAATTATTCTTGTAACAATACACCTTCAATTTTTTTAACCTCATACCAAACATCAATTGATGGTAAATTCATCATTCTTCGTAATTTTGTCCTCCTCGCCATATTGTACTCGTTTTATATATATATATAATAGTTTCGGTGATTTCTGAATGTGTGGTGGTTGAAGGAATTAATTTTAGACATCTACCATGTTGTGCATTGAAAAATAAGTATTGGAATGGGTACCTGTCGCTGTTTCGCACTTTCGCAGTCTAGTTAATGAAGTGTTCAGAAGTAAATGTTGTCAATCAAACTCGAAAGATTTATCTGTTTGCATTCCTGCATTTTCTTTTTCTTTTTGGAAAGATACCGTGTGTAATGATCCTCTCCTAAAATTGCCAAACCACCCATTTAGACTAGCAAGCTAAGAGTTCATATTTAACCAAGCTAAGCTTAGGTGGTGTGAAATTTAGAGCAGCGTCGCTTGGTACCACGTCTTAAATGTATGGTAAGCAGAATCTTTCTGAGGAGAAGAATTGTATTAATTAGCTTTTAATCTCTCTTCTTTCCTGGCTCCTTTTTTTTTTTTTTGTTGAAACTGAACTATTACTTCAAAAAGCACCTTGCTTAAAACAAGCTGCAGGTGCTTAAATGATCCAAGCTCATCGAGACCCATTAGTGATATTGGTTACGTGTTCCATAAGGGTGGTAAAACCGTACCATCACTAATGAGTAAATTAAATGACAATAACATGACCTTTTTCTTTGTTTGTTGTCTCTATTTATTTATTATTATTATTATTCATCAGGAGGTGGGTTTTGTACTATACAACATAGATGGTCATTCTCAATATATATATATATATACAGAGAGAGAGTTGAGTCATTAGGATTCGAATATTAATTTTTTTTTTAAAAAAAAAACTATTTAAATAGACAACCATTATACTAAACTTGTATGTGTGTTTGTCGTCTCTATCTATTTACTGAGATTTTAATCTCTTACTTTGAGTGCCAGCTTTTGGAAACACATTGTTGTGTGTTCAATATAAATGATAATTCAATTTCAAAATTTAACTCTAATTCAAGTTAAAATTAAATTAATAACTTTTTTTTCTAAAATTTATATGCAGAATGAAGCTCTCAATGGTGGTGGTACGCTGTTTGTGAACAAGCACCCAAACCTTAAAGTTCGAGTTGTCCATGGAAATACTTTAACTGCTGCAGTTATTCTCAATGAAATCCCCAAGGATGTAGAAGAAGTGTTTTTAACAGGAGCAACTTCCAAACTTGGAAGAGCTATTGCGCTCTACCTTTGCCAAAGGAGAGTAAGAGTCCTAGTAAGTGTTGCCCGCCACATCAATCTTCTTCATTAAAATTTTTTCTTTCTATTTATGATTTGTAAATTGCAGTCAATGACTAATCCGTGAAAATTTTTTTTTGGTGATAATAAGTCTTAATTTCACGAGAATCCTGCCTATGCTCCCTCCCACAATTTGACTATTCGCATTTTTCATAAGCAAATTCAGGGTGCCTTTATGTGCAAGTGAGAATAACATCCCAAAATTCTGACACATTTTTCTAATCTTTATTAGTGAAAGACCAATCAGCTTAGTTACATTGCCACCCATATCTCCTTTCTTCTCCACCAAATAAATACATAAATAAATAAATAAAAATAAAAACTTGGTTGGAGCTTCTGCTTTTATTAAAAAAAAAAAAAAAGATAATAATAAATCAATAAAAAAAAAAGTTCGATTCATATCATAAGATGATGCTAACTTTCCAACAACTCCAATAAAGTTTCTTGATCAAGTGATTTGGCAACGTTTTATACCACACTTTAATTTGAATTTTCATCAGACATTTTTTTTATACGGTTTAAAAGCACTCAATAAATAAAGTGCCAAACTTTTTTTTAACACATTTCTAAATGAAAGCAATCAATTATTTGATTGGACGTACGTGTATTTTTGTACACCTCAAAATGGGACTGAGGCGGTAGTTATGGTTTAAATGAAAAGAAAATAGTTTTGAATCTTTCTAGAAAACGACGGTTTTGTCTTGCTGAAATGGAACATTATTCAATGAAATAGCTGTTAATCCTGTGTAAATTACTGTACTTAGACGGAACTATAGAAGAAGTAGAATATTGTCTATGTTGGAAAGCTGTTTCGATAATGAGAATAATGGTTAAAAAAAATTGAAAAATGGAGAACGAAAATCAATTAATGATTATGGTTGAATGCTTTAAGGCATCAATTTATTTTCTTGGGTTCTGTACGTAGGTATGCATCTTTGATTTTGACGGTGAAATATAATGCTGCAGATGCTGACCTCATCAACAGAGAGATTTCAAAAAATTCAAAAGGACGCCCCAATTGAATGTCAAGTCTATCTGGTACAAGTGACCAAGTACCAAGCAGCTCGTAGTTGCAAGGTACTGTGACCAAAAGCTATGTTGTTATAAATGCTTGTGTAAGAAAAAAATTGGCTTGTTTTTGTTTTATATTGAATTGTATTCTTCTGTTTGTTGAAAATATTATTTGTGGATTTAAATTTGTAGACCTGGATCGTGGGCAAGTGGATCACACCACGGGAGCAAAGTTGGGCCCCAACAGGAGCACGTTTCCATCAATTTGTGGTGCCCCCCATTTTGTCCTTCAGAAGAGACTGCACTTACGGTGATCTTGCAGCCATGAGACTCCCTGATGATGTTCAAGGACTTGGAAATTGCGAGGTAAAATCCTCTTTCAATTTTTTATTAACAATTTCCCTTCAATTTCACCCTTAAAAAACGATCCTAAAAGGTCAGTGTTTTGTATTAAAAAATAATAGAAAGAAGATTCTTAAAACCCTATTTAACAGGTTAAGTTATGAGTTTTACGTATAATGTCTTATCGGTGATATATTTTCAAATATCCTATTATAAGCGAAATGAGGTGATTTCAGAAACTATAGTTGGAAGGGGTTTGCAGACAAAGAATTAAATGCATCGATAATAATAGTAATAATAGACATCTTGAGTGAAACAGAAATCCATGTTGATTGCCTATGGATTGAAAATGATTGAAAATATCGAAAATTAAGGAAAATATAAATGTGTATGTGTGTGTGTGAGAGCTACCAGGTTGTCAAAGTTAGTTACATATTGCTGTATGATTAGTTAGTATAAATAATTTTGTGGATGTTGTAACAGTATACGATGGAGAGAGGAGTAGTACACGCATGCCATGCAGGCGGTGTGGTTCACCTGCTAGAAGGTTGGAGTCACCATGAAGTTGGGGCAATTGATGTTGAAAGAATCGATCTGGTTTGGAAAGCTGCATTAAAGCATGGCTTAAAACCGGTCTAAAATAAATAATATTGTGACCAAACAGAATTCAATGTGAATAATGTCTTCTTACGATGAAGAAACCAAGGCAAGGATTTAGTTGCAACAACAAAAGAATCCCTTTCTTCTCATTAATATTAAAATGTAACCAACGAAAATGGTTTCAAGTGGCAATCCATATGTACTTCTAAAATTTGATTTACGCATTAACGAAGCAAAGTTACCGCTTTACTCTCAGTCTCTATATATATTTTTTCTCTTGTCAACAAATTAATTAAAAGAGTACCAATCATGGAAGTATAATTAATTAAATAATACTAGTTAATTAAGAGTCTGGATTTAGATTCTAATCTATTGTAATTCAGCAAATTAAAATAAAGAAAGGTGATTTCTTTCCCTTATTGATATGGCAAAACGTAGTGAAGTTGAGGTTGAATGTCTGCATAATCTTGGGAGGCAACATTTATTTATTTCTTTGTTTATTTGGACCGAATCTTTGCATTTCTACCTTAGCTCATTTGTTAATTATCACAATTAGTTGTTAATGAGTTGTAACTCTACTAGTATTAATGTCCGTCTATGAATTATAGTTTTTGATTTTTGATTTCTATTTTTCAAAATTTATTGAAAAAGATATTTGATAAAATTCTAAAAGCTATTTTGAAAACTATTTTGCAGTTAAAAGTCAGAAAATATAAAATAAAATTTTTGAATTTTTGAATCTTATATAACATAAAAGCATTTTGATATCATCCCAAATTACTAAACATTTTTTTTTTTTACAATTATAACACCCACAAATAAATTAAAATCACAGCTTTTTTAAATGGATCCACAAAAATTTTATTTTAAGTTCGAGCCACCAAATATCTTTATGCATTATTATTTTTATTATTATTTCTCATGAGGTTCAAGTTTAAGTGAAAAAAACCGATGAACTCCTCATAAATATAGTTTTAACTAACGATAATTATTTAACAGAAACAACGAAGGTTTTAATTGTTTTTCGTCATTCTACATGGCATAATCCTAATTATGGTAATAACGAGATAATGGTCCAGACAAAGATCAAGTTTAAAAAAAGAAATTATCCTTAGATCAAAGTCTGTCAACAATATAATGCATTTTTGTCGACACCGGCCTACAAGTAAGATTAAAGTGGCTAACGCTAATCATCATATACAGTAGATATGCCAAAGTCTAATCGCATTTTACTTTGCTCAGAAAGTTCCTTGACCTGAAATTTCAAGCAAATAAAGAAAGAAAAAGGTAATGCAACATGAAAAATCATATTAGCTTTTTGACGAACCTAGCCCAAACTAAGCGACCTGTTTGAACGGGGCAACATGCATGGATCTAGAACCAAAAGAGGCATGTCTGTCTGTGCAACACGAGAAACAGAGAGAGATCTATCAAGTCAATTCGAACGCGTTATAATTGATGTGAATTAGACCCCCCACTGAAAACCTTAGAAAGATTCCATTAACACCAGCTAATAATTTAATAATGTTTTTAAAAGGTCATGTTTAAAAGAAGTACGTTTATTTTCTTTCAAATTTTCTAATCATCCAAACAATACGGTTAAACAACAATAAAATGCCCCACTGAATTTATTAAAATTCCATAAAAAGTCTAAATCAACAACCATAAATGCATATATTAAATTTTGGTTTTTTTTCTTTCCCTACCCTATAGAGATAATAATTGGTATTACTGTATTTTGCTCCTAAAGTATTGCATTTTAACGATTTTGATTCCAAAGTATGAAATCGCGTAATGTAAATTCCAAAGTATAGAAGATTGAGCAAATTTGATCTAATTTGTCCAATCCTCATTACTTATAATAGTCAACTCTTAGTTGATCGTTACTTAATTAATTAATTTTTTTTTCGTTTGAAGTCGTGAGGAGCTGAAAGGGTAAAGGTAAACGATTGTCTAGCTTTAACCTTTCAATTCCTCTCGTTAAAAATTGACATTTAGTGAGAATGAATTGATTTGGAGAGAGAGAGTCTTTAACTTTGTAAAAATCTTCTACAAGTATGTCATTTTCTTCAAATTTCAATAGGACTTGAGAGAGTTAATGCCTTCTCATTCGTTTTCTTCTTCTTCCTTCTTCTTCTAAGTAATCAAATGCAAAACTCTCTAATGTGAAAAATATTTCTTCATTATTCATTCAAAAACCGCAGTATGATTATTCCAATGATTCACCTATGAGATACTACAAAGGTGGACTCCCAACTACTCGATGGACTTCATAGAGTGATAATAATCCAAGCATGAGGTTTTTTGCATGCCCTAAATTTAATGCGGTAAATGGCGAGTACAAAATGAAATTATTTTCAGTTTTAAGATCTTATAGTTAGAGGAAGAGCAAGAAATGTAATTAATGTTTTGAAGTAAATTGAAAAGAGGCTAGTTGCGAGAGAATGAGTGTGTGTTGAGAAAAATCTACTTATAAGAGAGAACATTGTCAATAGCGACGAAGAATGAGAGAAAAAGAATTCTAAATGTAACCATTGTGTTAGTTATTCAATTGCAATAATTGTGATGTTAGTTTGCTTGTTGGTGGTTAAGTAAGATGTTATTGGGATTAGGTTAATGTTGATTAGGTTTGTTTGATGGGTTGTGATAATTTTATAAGGTGTTTGGAATGGATCTTATTCAATAGGATTGTTTGTAAGTTTCCACAATTGATGGGATAATAATGTCATTATTAGACAACAAATGTACTAGCTGAATGTTTACGAGTTAAATATTGACTATTAAATATATTAAACATTATATGAAAAAACTTGTAATTTAATGTTGATTTAATGTTAACGAGTTGGATATTGAATGATAAGTGTATAATTTTTTTTGTTGAATGTTGATTGTTATGTTAAAGAGGAAAAGCAAAAGTTTTGAACAATTCTATAGAATTGTTCATCAATTTTGCAGAAATCCCTTAGTTGTATGGTGAGAAAAGAAGAAATTGATAGTAGAGAGTGAAAATAAGAGAATTTAAATGATTTTCAGTTTTGGATTTTCTAGGTTTTTTTTAGTACTTTTTGAATTTATGGGATTGTTCTTGAATTTCTTGGTTTTGGCTTGAATTCTAGGTTTTATTCTTGAATTTTTGAGTTTGAGAATTAATTTCGGATTTTGTTCTTGAAGTTCTTAGTTTTGTTCTTGAATTTCTAGGATTTGTTAATGAATTTCTAGGTTTTGGCTTGAATTTTAGGTTTTGTTCTTGAATTTTTGGGTTTGAAACCCATAAAATTCATCCCCAAATTAGAAATTCAAGAAAAAAAAACCCAAAATTCAGAAACAAATACTAGAAATTCATCCCTAAGCCTAGAAATCCAACTCCAAACTTAGAAATTCAAACGCCGCCTTGAAACAACCTAAAAAACCTAGAATTGAAGGATTTACGTTGTACATTTCCCTTTTTTCTCACGACGCAATTAAAGAATTTCTACGGAATAACACTTAATTTTTTGCAAAATTATTTATTATTTATGTAGAAATTCATCATTTTTACGAATTGATGAACAATTCGATAAAAGAACACTTGGAATTTTTGTAGAGTTGTTCACCAATTCCGTAGAAATTCATGTGTTTTCTATAGAATTGTTCATCGGTTTTGTAGAAATCATCAATTTTGTAGAATTGATAAAAAATTCTAGAGAAATTAGCAACTCTCCCGAAATCATCCAAAATTTCTAAATAAGCATCCAAACTCTTAGAAATCTTCCAATCTTTCAAAAAAGCATCCCACCTCCCAAAAATCATCGAAACTCCTAGAAAAGCATCCAAACTCCCCAAAATAATCTAAACTACAAAAAATCAAATAAAATTCCCATAAAAGGATAAAAAATTCCTAAAGGCAACCAACTGAAAATTCATTGACAAAATAAAAATGTTTCAAATCCATTAACAATAAAAAAAAAGCAACAAACATCATCCGTTATACATAACTAGCATTCTGAAATTTAAATTAATGGATCAATTACATATAATTGATCCATCAATAACAAAAATATTTGCAAAAAACATAAATAATTTTCCATAATATTCTCAAACACTAACAATTCATTCTTGAATCTTCCTCGATCTTCCTTTTGTTTTTACGGATGGATTGCTTGCATTTCTACCCCTTCTCCTTATTTCAAGTTATTGTTGAGTTTTTTGTTCATTTAGAGGTTAAGTGCCTAGATTTATAACTTATGAAATACATGTTCTAGGCTATACAAATTACAAACACCAACAAAAACTTAGTTACAACCAAGAAAATAAAAAAAATTTTAGAAATAAATACAAATTGTGAATACCAACAAAAACTTACATTTCAACTTGAAATCCTATATCGGGATTCACATATAAGTCACATGTGTATTTAGGAAGTCCTTTATTGATAAGATTGGAGGAAGTAGTCATGGTTCCTAATTCCTTTGTTGCAATCAACTCTTGCACTAGTAATTGATCATCTAGAATTGCCTCATTTCTTATTGTATCAATTGGTGTTATAGATGTTCAAGCACTCGTTAACTCGTCCTAGAATGCAAAATACATACAAAAAAAAAATTTAAATTAAATGTTATTTCACATAATGTTTATACTCACATTATTTATAATTAATAAAAAAAAATTAACAACCTCTTGTTTTCTTATTAGAATAAGTCCTTAAATTGTGACCTTTTTTTATGGCATTGGGAACTATACATAACTTTTCCTTTTCTTGATAAATTCCTCCATTTTTTGCTTTCCACTTTTCTCTAACCTTTTTGTTCTTCCTCCTTCCAGCCTTCTTCCTTAGTGGTAAAGGCTTAACAAAGCCAAGTCTTTTTTCTCCTAGAACTTCTTCCCATTAACAAATTATAAAGCAAACTAGTAAGACTTCATAAGCGTCTCCTTCTTATACCCATGGGATAAATGATCTTCCGGCTTTTCCTTCATACTTTCTAGTACATGCATGACATGAACACAAGGAATTCCACCGATATCCCATAGTTTGCAATTACACTTTATAAGAGGCACATTAA